CTGTCTCCACACACAGCGACCCCTACTGGCCAGTGCTGGTATTGCATAGTAATCTCTTGTTTATACTGAGAAAAATACCAGCATTTGTATTGCCAGTATCACTGTAATATTGGCACCAGCCAGGCAGCTTAAAATACTGGCGGTGCCAATAAAATAAAAGCCAGGTGGAATCCCTAAGAGTAGTGTGTGAAGAAAAAAAAAATGTAAAAAAAAAAATATATATATATATATATTTTTATAAATCAATGGGCCTATTCCATGGGCCTGGGCCTGGGCCTGGAGCTGCAGCTCCATCAGCCCCTATGTTAATCCGGCCCTTCATGTAGTAGACTGATCCTGCCCTAAAGGACAGTCAGACTCTGAAATTCTGGCATACTCTCTGTACGCACACAAGATTCAGAAACCTCAGATGACCATTTTGGCCTCATCAGTGTTCTCATATTGTCTGTTTTTGCTTCAGTGCATTTGCTGAGGGTCTACCTAGGTTAAACAAGTAATCCAGGCATGGACCCCATGCTCACTTTAACTACGAGAGTATTAAGCTACACCTCACTGACGAGGCCAAAAGAAGACAGAAAAAATTATTGAGGTTGCTCTATCTTTCATACAGAGGGAATTTTCTGGCATTTTAGATCTGGACTACCCTCCTGGGTGGGCTCCATCTGATAAATATATGGTATAAGTCAGGCTTCCCCAAACACCGGCCCTCCAGATGTTGCTGAACTACAACTCCCATGTTTCTATGAATTAAATAAATAGGCTGAGAATCATGGGAGTTGTAGTTCAGCAACATCTGGAGGGCCGGAGTTTGGGGAATCCTGGGGTAGGTTCTCTCAGTAACGGCACACGTAAGCTAAACCTTGTTTGAAACCTGAGCAGAGAAGAACCGAAGAGCCATAACGGAGGTCATGTCCATTCTTAGTGTTCTCATTTTCTCTGTTTGGTTTAATTGTTTTTGGGCAGAAATGCAAAAAATTCACATTACCCACCTCCCAACCATCCTGATTTAAACAGGACAATCCTAATTTTCTGGTCTGTTCTGCCATCCTGTTTTGAAGCAACTGCACAATCAAATATATATAAATCATTTCAATGAATGAAAAATGAATGGCAAATGATAAATCTACTACATATGTTAGTATAGCATCCAGACATCTAACAACTAAACTTGATGGTTTCTATGATATTTATCAAATAACTGTCCGGATGCTGTAAAGGCAGGTGGTCTGTTGATGACAGGGCTGAGAGATACCTGCGTGTGGTTTGACCTGGTTGATGAATATTACGAAGATAAATGTAAACTACTGTATATGCAATGTAGGATGTGAATGTATATTACGATCTTTATATTTCCTGCTCTGTATACATTTGAAATGATCAGTTAGATATGACATCAGTGTAAGTGATAACAGCGTGGACAATCTTGTAATGTTTTCACAGGAGTCTCTGAAATAACTCCAGGAAAGGAAAATGATAGCGATCTATCAAACAAACAAATGGAAAACAGTACACAGATCGAGACACCAAATGTACAGCATCATAGGACGAGCCAAGCAAAGAATTCCAGAGAATGAAACAAAGACTAGACTAGAGAACAAACTACCCAAGGGCAGTCATGATAACTAAAGTCCTACGTGGTCAGGATGTAAGGGTACCAAGGTTAGGCTGTAAGGGTTCCATGGTTAGGCTGTAAGGGTCCCATGGTTAGAATGTAAGGGTCCCATGGTTAGAATGTAAGAGTGCCTTGGTTAGAATGTAAGGGAGCCATGGTTAGACTGTAAGAGTGCCATGGTCAGAATTTACCGTCGAACAGCCGAAGTACTGGACCACCCATATTTGGAAGTGTGCTGCTTGTTAACCGCCCAGAAGCTGTGATTGACCGCAGCCTACTTGACGAACGCCTGGGTGGTGGTGGTTCATATAGCCGAACACGGACAGCAGTGCTTTGTCGTAGAGTGCATGGAACTAAAATCGGACTCTCGACGGCACGAACACCGCTAGACCTTCCACCTCCAGCTAACTTCTACTAAATCCATACGAACAGCGCGCCGTAAAGGTAATCTACCGAACCCACTTCAACATTGACTTAGTGCATGAACAGTCCCGTTCGAACATTCAAACTACATTTTAATCATTGGAAATAGACCGACCGCACAGCCTAATTGTCTGGAACTATTTTGGGCATGAAAACATGCGTGCGGTCGGTCAAAAGAGACTTCCATAACATTTCTGAACCCCTGCTCTGATCTGGGTGAATTTTGGTTATGTTGTTCACCCAGATCAGGGCTATCAGGGATGTAATATTTATGAGGTTCCCATATGGTTTTGGGGTGTTTTCAGAAAATGGGTAAATACTGTATTTTTTGTTTGGAGATAATTGAGTTGATACAGTAATTAACTCAATTATTTCATAAACAGAGGGTAGGGATTGTGCACACTACAGGGGAGTGTCTGCATGTAAGACTCTGTTTTATTGGTTTGTTAATTCTGTGTCCTGTGCCCCACAATGTCCACCTGGGCATCAACCTTGTGGGGAAAAACTGTATAAAAACTCAAGCTGTTCAATAAACCTTCAGACCTTATTACCCTCAACTCCCAGCCTCGTCTCGTGTTGTAGGGAAATTCTATATCTGCTTTAATCACTAGCTCTTTTCAGAGCTCTAAGGAACTTGCTCCTCAAAACAATCTACTAGGATGTCGTATTGGTACTCCACAGCGCCCTTCCAGATTAGGGAAAAGGACATCTAGGCGGAATATACCCCGACTACTCCAGGGGGAACCGTCACAGTGATTGTCACGCCAAAAGCAGGAGAGTTGGGAGCCCTGGAAGCAAACAAATTTGCATTTTATCTTATAAAGCTCTAAGCTAAACACTCTGTCTGTTCCCCTGGAAGTTACAAGATAAATATATTTATGCAATTATTTCTTTTTTTGAATTTTTAAATTTTTTTTTGCTGTGCATGAGGTAACAAGGAAGTATGCTATGCCACAATAGCGATAGCCAGCATATAAAAATACAGGCATTCTATGGCATATCTGAACATTGCACAATTTTAAAATTAAAATAAAGTATGAGACATTTCAACATGAGGACATACGGTAAAAGATAAAGAGCGTTACAAAAGTAACATAACGAGTCCTACAAAATACTGCATGTTCAAGAGTAAATATAAAACAAGATAGACTAAAGTGTGTCAGCTCATGGGTAAAGTAAATCAATACAGTCGCAGTAAAGGATAACTGACTACACGGGAAAGACAGGAGAGATGGAAAGCCAAGAGGCTCAAGACACTGGGCTCAAGATATTTGCCAAAGAAACAGAGTACGTATGTGTGCTAGGTAGCACCCGAGAGAGCAGGATTAGAGCAGGATATAGCTGCTAAATAGTAAGTCCATAGCCATCAGCTCAACCTATGCCCATAATGTCCTGGCACAGTCCAAACTGGTATTGACAATATTGTGATTCTCCCCAGGTGCCACAATGTGCTGCATCCTTCCAGCCCCAGACATTAACAGGAACCTTCACCTCCACCGGCCCAGAGGAGGGGAGCACGGGGTACTGAGAGCATCAGGGAAGACTTGAAATCCCAGTCGGAGAAATCGTCCGCTTTCTATGCCATGGAAATGGACTAGGCTGCACATGATTCGTGCAATCTACTTACCTGAACCTGTCTTGTGCAAGCGTCGTCACTGCTGTACTCTCACGCATGCACACGAGTATAGTGTTGAGGACTATGGGGGATCCATAGAAACATAGAAACATAGAATGTGACGGCAGATAAGAACCATTCGGCCCATCTAGTGTGCCCAATTTTCTAAATACTTTCATTAGTCCCTGGCCTTATCTTATAGTTAGGATAGCCTTATGCCTATCCCACGCATGCTTAAACTCCTTTACTGTGTTAACCTCTACCACTTCAGCTGGAAGGCTATTCCATGCATCCACTACCCTCTCAGTAAAGTAATACTTCCTGATATTATTTTTAAACCTTTGTCCCTCTAATTTAAGACTATGTCCTCTTGTTGTGGTAGTTTTTCTTCTTTTAAATATAGTCTCCTCCTTTACTGTGTTGATTCCCTTTATATATTTAAATGTTTCTATCATATCCCCCCTGTCTCGTCTTTCCTCCAAGCTATATATGTTAAGATCCTTTAACCTTTCCTGGTAAGTTTTATCCCGCAATCCATGAACCAGTTTAGTAGCCCTTCTCTGAACCCTCTCTAAGGTATCAATATCCTTCTGAAGATACGGTCTCCAGTACTGTGTACAATACTCCAAGTGAGGTCTCACCAGTGTTCTGTACAATGGCATGAGCACTTCCCTCTTTCTACTGCTAATACCTCTCCCTATACAACCAAGCATTCTGCTAGCATTTCCTGCTGCTCTATTACATTGTCTGCCTACCTTTAAGTCATCAGAAATAATCACCCCTAAATCCCTTTCTTCATATGTTGAGGTTAGAACTCTATCAAATATTCTGTACTCTGCCCTTGGGTTTTTACGTCCAAGATGCATTATCTTGCACTTATCCACATTAAATGTCAGTTGCCACAATTCTGACCATTTTTCTAGTTTACCTAAATCATTTGTCATTTGGCTTATCCCTCCTGGAACATCAACCCTGTTACATATCTTAGTATCATCAGCAAAAAGACATACCTTACCATCAAGACCTTCTGCAATATCACTAATAAAAATATTAAAGAGAATGGGTCCAAGTACAGATCCCTGAGGTACCCCACTGGTGACAAGTCCAAGCTTCAATATATTCCATTAACTACAACCCTCTGTTGCCTGTCACTCAGCCACTGCCTTACCCATTCAACAATATTGGAATCCAAACTTAAAGATTGCAGTTTATTGATAAGCCTTCTATGTGCAACAGTGTCAAAAGCCTTACTGAAATCTAGGTAAGCAATGTCTACTGCACCACCCTGATCTATAATTTTAGTTACCCAATCAAAAATCAATAAGATTAGTTTGGCATGATCTCCCTGAAGTAAACCCATGTTGTCTCTGATCTTGAAATCCATGTGTTTTTAGATGTTCATCAATCCTATCCTTTAACATGGTTTCCATCACTTTCCCCACTACTGAAGTAAGGCTTACTGGCCTATAGTTGCCCGACTCCTCCCTATTACCTTTCTTGTAAATGGGCACAACATTCGCTAACTTCCAATCTTCTGGGACTACTCCTGTTAACAATGATTGGTTAAATAAATCTGTTAATGGTTTTGCTAGTACACCACTAAGCTCTTTTAATAGCTTTGGGTGTATTCCATCAGGTCCCATTGACTTATTTGTCTTTACTTTTGACAGTTGAAATAGAACCTCTTCCTCTGTAAACTCACGTGTAATAAATGACTCATTTATCCTTGTTCTCAACTGAGGTCCCTTTCCTTCATTTTCTTCTGTAAATACAGAACAAAAATATTCATTGAGGCAGTCAGCCTGACCTTTATCCTCTTCTACATACCTTCCTTCTTGTTTTTAATCTAACTAATCCTTGTTTTACTTTTCTTTTCTCATTTATGTATCTAAAAAATGTTTTATCCCTCTTTTTTACTGACTGGCACTATTTTCTCTTCTGTGTGTGTTTGGAAGCTCTTATAACTTACAGCAGCCTCTTTTCTGCCTAATCTTGTAAGTCATTTCCAGTAGCTTCCTCTATGTTTTATGTTCCTAAATGCTAACTTTTGTTTTTAACCTATTTTGGCCCATCTACTGTGGTTCTTGAATTTTTGCTTTTTACTGACAAGCCTAATGCAATTTTCAGTTTACCTTCAATAGTGCAACTTTAAATAATCCCATTCTTAGGGCTCCCATTTAAATTACTCCAGTCTGATAATGACTCCTGTACACATATTCTAATTTTAGAAAAGTCTGTTTTTCTAAAGTCTAAAACTTTTGTTTTTGTGTGGTGTGACTCAGTCACTGTTCTTATATTAAACCACACTGACTGATGATCACTGGATCCTAAACTTTCACCTACAGTAACATCTGATACCAAATCTCCATTTGTTAACACAAATCTAGTATGGCCTCTTTACGAGTTGGCTCCTCAACAACTTGTTTTAGAGACAATCCCAGTAGGGAGTTTAGAATATGTGTGCTCCTGGCAGAAGTAGCTAATTTTGTTTCCAATTTACATCAGGAAGATTAACGTCACCCATGATGATAACTTCCCCTTCATTGTCATTTTAGCTATTTCCTCAACTAGTAGATTATCTAACTCTTCAATTTGTCCTGGGGGCCTATAAATCACACCTACACGAGTTACTGTGTGATTACCAAATTCTAACGTAGCCAAACGGACTCTATGTTTGCCTCACTAACTTTTATTAGGCTAGATTTTATGCTATCCTTCACATACAAGGCCACCCCTCCCCCTTTCTTGCCTTCCCTATCTTTCCTATATAAAGAGTACCCTGGTATTGCTATGTCCCAGTCATTTTTCTCATTGTACCATTTGTCTCAGTAACAGCGACTAAATCTGCACTATCAGTTGCCATTATTGCCACAAGTTCATGGATCTTATTCCCTAAACTGCGAGCATTTGTAGACATGACTCTAAGCTTATAATTTTTTAACACACTTGCTACAAGCACCTTCTGTCCTTGTTTTGGGGGACAATTGGATTGATGTTTTATCACCATTTTGCCCCCCCCTCGTAGTTTAAATACATCCTAGCAAAACCTCTGAACTGCTCACTGAGAACATTTGTTCCCTTTTGAGAAAGATGCAAACCATCTTTTTTGTACAGCTTATCTCCATACCAAACAGAGCTACCATGAGAAATAAAGCCAAATCCTTGCTCCCGACACCATTCACCAAGCCACAAATTAAAGTCCCTAATACGCATCCGCCTGTCGTTCTGGGTGTTATGCACAGGCAGAACTTCAGAGAATGACAGTGTGGAAGCAACCTGCCATATATCATTGGCAAAAACACTAAAAACTTCCTTAACCTCTGAAACCTCATTGCAAGCCAAGTCATTTGTCCCTAGATGGACAAGTACATACAATTCCTCTTCCTGGTTTGCTTGCTTAACAATATTACAGATAAGTCTCCTGTCTCTGTGAGCAGTAGCTCCGGGAAGACACCTCACAAGACCACCATTGTCCATCTCCACACCTCTTATGATGGAATC